GACGTAGGATTACGTCTTTCGGCAACATATTGGGAGTGCAATTTCAAAAAAAAACCAAAATCAACCGCGGGACGAAAATAGGTCAGGTTTTGACCACATATACCACTGTCAATAGCAGATGAATTTTAATTCTAAACAATTCAAAGAATTGGGAATTTATCTACCAATCTGCTAAATTGAACACTTTATTAATTTTCAATAGGTCACTATTGAAAAATACACAAATGTCCAACTGTTGCAATGGTGATCAAAATTATAACCGATTACCTGCAAACAGCGCATTCCCTAACACAGATTTAAAAATCGAATGCGATCCTGTCTCACTGAACGGTGCTCATTCAATCACCGTGTGTGGTGGTGTCCGGTCGTCAACGTCAGCAGCAGCAGCAGTGATTAGCGTGTGGTGTACCCCACGAAAGGCAGCCTGCAAACAGTGAGCTGCAGAGCCCACATGAGCACCCATTGAAGGAGGAAGAAGCCGCTGGATCGAAATCAATTTCCTCGTGAGTAGCTGTGGGTCATTTATGCCAAGCGTGTCAACCTTGCTCCAAACAATTAACAGCTCGCCAACCACACCCCAATAGCTCAGCGTCAGCATTACTCAACCATCACGACTAAATGGTCCTTTTCAGGACCACCACAAATTTGTTAAAGAGTATGTTTTGGATATTGTAAAGGTTATCAATCGGATGTCAGTTCCCGCAAGCAGCTAACTATCAAAACTCAATCTGGTCTATAGAAGGTGTGGAATTGTAGGCCTGAATGTATTGGTGCAATTCGTTTTTCACTAGGTTTTCATTTCGATTCGCACGATTCGTTTACTCAGTCACCCTTGTAGTGGCGTCATAATGTTTGTTTCGATCGGCATAGGAAATTAATATGAATTATAGAATTTGTGTATGTTACTAAAATTTTTGAATGGTCTGCCACTAAATGTTGAGATAATTAATTGATTATTGAATATCACACTGTGTATACCATGAAAAAGCAGCCTGTTTGTGAGTTCCATATAACATACAGTTCGCCAGCCTTATCCGTGTTGAACACCCTAATAGATCAGCATTACTCAACCATCACGAGAAAACGGTCCTTTTCAGGACCATCATAAATTTGGTAAAGAGTATTTTTTTTTACGTAGGATTACGTCTTTCGGCAACATATTGGGGGTCCAATTTCAGAAAATCAAATTCGACCGCATTACGAAAAGAGATCAGGTGTTGATTACATACATATAACTCTGTCAATAGCAGATGGATTTTAATTCTAAACAAGCCAAACGATTGGAAATTTAGCTGGCAAATTGCTACACGGCGAATGAGAACGACCCAAATTTGAGTTTAGTTCACTCATAATCGCCAAAAGTGCAGGAACTCAGCGATGAGTAAAATTTGTCCCATGGTTTCCTGTGGAAAACCTAAAAAATCTGCCGGAAAATGAGGAAATTGACGAAAATTTTATTCAGTCTCGGAATAGTACCTATAGACTAAGTGAATCCAATCTTTACTTTTCTCAAATTCAGGAATTTTTCCCTGGAAAATCCTGGAAAAACCTGGGAAAACATGAGGCAAATTAACTCATCGCTGAGTTCCTGCACTTTTGGCGATTTTGAGTGAACTAAACTCAAATTTGAGTCGTTCTCATTCGCCGTGTACAATGAACACTTTATTAATTTTCAATAAGTTACTATTCATAAATACTCAATGTCCACCTGTTGCAATGGTGATAAAAATGATCACCGATTACCTGCAAACAGCGCATTCCCTAACACAGATTTAAAAATCGAATTCGATCCTGCCTCACTAAACGGTGCTCATTTAATCACCGTGTGTGGTGGTGTCCGGTCGACGGTGTCCGCAGCAGCAACATCAGTAGCAGCAGTGCTTTCGGCGTGTGGCGTTGAACATCGTTATCCTGTACACCACGAAAGGCATCCTGAAAGCAGCGAGCATCCATAGAAGGAAGACGAAGCCGCACCGCGATCGAAATCAGTTTCCTCGTGAGAAGCTGTGGGTCATCAATGCCTAGCACCGTCAACCTTGCTCCAAACAATAATTAATTATTAACAGATCGCCAGCCTCATCCGTGTTGAACACCTTAATAGCTCAGCATTACTCAACCATCACGACTAAACGGTCCTTTTCAGGACCAGCACAAAATTGTTAAAGAGTATTATTTGGACATTTGTCGAGGTCATCAGTTCCCGCAACCAGCTAGCTATCAAGGCTCAACCTGTCTATATAAGGTGTGGAATTGTAGGCCTGATTGTATTGGTGAGATTAATCATATCGTCCGGCCGTTTTCCAGAGACGGAGCTGTTCCGCTGGTAGGAAGTTATAAAAATCCACATATAGAATTTGAAAGAAGTGGAAATAATTCGCTTTAGGTGCATATTCAGGTAAAAAGTGAACGACAAGTTAAATTTATTAGTCAGGGCAATCATTTGTTTTCCCGGAAAATACTGTTTAATATAAATGATTTTTCTTCATACAGTTTTACCTGCTTTACTACCAATCCTCAGAAAGCCAAAAAATAATCAAATTTGTGAGTAAATTAGCTCCCAGGAGCTCAATCTCTCAATTGTCATATTTTTATGAAACCCAATTTGTGATTTCCTTTCATAGATTAGATTACAAAATAGAGTAGGGTAGAGAACTACTTCGGTCTAATAGCCGATTTTGGGCCTATCGAGCAGAAAACTTCAAATAAATCCATGATTTCAGAGTTAACAAGTCAATTAGGCGTTTTATACGATAATTTAGTTAATAAGCTACCGAATAAAGTCAATGCAAACGCGTGATATGAAGGTTTGCACCCATAATTCCCAAAAACAAAAGAATTTTTCCGACCGAATCATTTTTTTTTTCTTTATCAGATAGGCCGAAGTGAATTCATTGGCGTTTCAATGCGTAAGGCCGAGTTTAGAATCCGTAGGCCGAGTTTGGCGTCAGGAAGCAGTGTTAGACTTATAACAATATCTAAACAATTTGTTTCTCTTTATCAAATTTTACCCAATAAATAATTAATAAATTTGGAAGCCATCAGTAATAATAAAATTCCGTTTGGTGCTAAACTGCGCTAGATTAAGAAAGACTAAGTGCGGGTTGTGCTTAATAAGCCGGAAATAAGGTAGTGAACCCTATCTGACAGTACAAAACATGTCTGGTACCAAATTTAGATTAACATTCTAAGTCCCTCCTTTTTTACATATTCTGCTCAAACGCTACTTTCTGCCCCGCCCCATTCATACAATTCGGAAGAAAAACCAAAATCGACCATGTTACCAAAAGTGGTCAGGTCTTATAACTCTGTCAATAGCGGATGGATTTTAATTCTAAACAAGCCAATTGATTGGTAATTTTTCTTCAAAGCTGCTAAATTCAAAACTTCATCAATTTTCATTTAGGTTACCATTGAAAATTACACAAATGTCCAACTGTGGAAATGGTTATCAAAATTATCACCGATTGCTTGCAAAAAGTGGTTTCCCTAACATAGTCGCCAAATATTGATACCGAGCACGTAATCCTACGTCAAATCTACGGTCGAGTCTTGGATACAACCTCTTACTTTTTCTCTAACCGGAAGCCGCCATATTGAATTTCAAAATGGCCTCAGACATCGATTTCCTGTCCCTACACGTCACCCCGACAGCAAAAATACCAGTTTTGTGGGGTATTGGCAGAATTTCCCAGTTTTTCTCCAACCGGAAGCCGCCATATTGAATTTCAAAATATCTTCAGACATCGATTTCCGGACCCTACATGTCACCACGATTCCAAAAATACTTATACTGTGGATAATTTGGCAGTAATTCCCAGTTTTTTTCGCACCGGAAGCCGCCATATTGAATTCAAAATGGCGTCAGACATCGATTTCCGGACCCTACACGTCACTCCATTTCTAAAAATACCCATATTGAGAGGTATTTGACAGAATTTCCCAGTTTTTTCTCTAACCGGAAGCCGCCATCTTGAATTTCAAAATGGTCTCAGACATCTATTTGCGGACCCTACACGTCACCAAGATTCCAAAAATACTCATATATTGGGTAATTTGGCAGTAATCCCAGTTTTTCTCGCACCGGAAGCCGCCATATTGAATCCAAAATGGAGTCAGACATCTATTTTAGGTCCCTACACGTCACCCCAATTCTAAAAATACCCATATTGAGGGGTATTTGACATAATTTTCAAGTTTTTCTCCAACCGGAAGCCACCATCTTGAATTTCAAATTGACCTCAGACATCGATTTCCGGTCCCTACACGTCATCCCGACTCCAAAAATACCAGTTTTGTGGGGTATTTGGTAGAATATCCAAATTTTTCTCCAACCGGAAGCCGCCATATTGAATTTCAAAATGGCCTCAGACATGGGTTTCCGATCCCTACACGTCACTCCGATTGCAAAAATACCCATATTGAGGAAGCCGAAGAAACAAAAAAAAAATGGATTGAAATAAACTTAGAAGTAATAAATTACCGAAAACCGCAACCATCGCTTATTTAACTCTAAGGTTTTCCATCCAGTCGACAGCAGCGGAGGTTACGACTCTTGTCACTTAAAATCGTCACTTCAGTAAGACTTTTGTCACCGAAATACAACTGTGAGAATAAGGTGAGAGTTCATCGGGTTCATCCCAAGTGACTTTTCTCACCTCACTCGCCAGCTGGAATCGGGTGACACGAGTGACTCAAGTCACCTCACTTCATTCGCCACGCAGAATAACCCTGATTGCCTAGTTTTAGATCACCGGTATTTACACGTTCCCCCTTATTCTGCGAGTCACGTGACTCTCTGTCACCGGTGAGGTGACAATTGTCACCTCGTGTGAGGTGACTCTCCATGTAAATCAAATGGAGAGTCACCTCACACGAGGTGACTATTGTCACCTCACCGGTGAGAGAGAGTCACGTGACTCGCAGAATAAGGGGGAATGTAATTTTTCGGGAAAAAAAATGGAATAAACAAACACAACGTTCTTGCAAATAAATCCTTTTAATCGTAACATGCTTCTTTCTACGGCCAACTAACGTCTTTGATGATCCACTGCATAGATACGCCACTGCTCGATTTGCATCAGATCACCTCCTCCTTTAGCCCAATCCCCGTAGCGACTGTGAAAAAGCACTCCATCAAAGGGAGGATCATCGCGAAAACCCTTCAGATTTAAACCAACCGATTCTATAGCATTGGAAACGCGATTGTAAACTTCTTTGTAGAAAAACACCAACCGAAATGGGCGGCTATCGACCTTGCCGGGATATTCCACCGCAGCGGGGTCGTACGTTTCAGTCACAACCTCGTGCGCCACTTGCAGCAGCAGATCGGCTTCGAACAGTTGAAGGACGCGCTGCTCCATCAGAAGGTACAGAGTTAGTGCGGTAGCAAGCAGCGGTCTCAGTACCAGTTTCACTCGTCTATAGTCCAAGCTGTCGGATACGATCCAGCTGAGCAGCTGAAGCTTTGTGTCCAAGAGGTTGTGACTGGCGGCTGGATCTCTGGAGAATAAATCTACCAAGGTCGGTGGTTCCATGAAGGGTGGAAATTCCACTGGAAAACGTTGCTGGGCGTGGTTGGATTCGTGGTTGAGTTTGACGACAAGTGAACATGCGTAGAATCGGCGACGTTTCAGACGATGGAACACAATGATGCCGGCCGTGCGGAGCATTATCCGGAGGGCAAGCCTTGGCAGCTGATTTCCCAAATCGTCGCTTCGCATATCGCACAATCCGAATGATACAGCGTAGGGTTGGTTATGCCACATTTGATACATAAATGGACTGGATTGTTCCAAGACGACGGCTACAGCTGGGTCGTTATTTGGGTTGGGGTTTGCAGCAGTGTAGTTCTGAAATTGCATTGAATCATTTTAGATGGACAACGTAAGTGCTGCTCGAAACCTACCGTTTTGTAAAAATCTAAACTCTGCTGAAAGCGCATTTCTATTTGCTTGTATCGGGAGCCGAAGGCATGCTTTAAAATTTTCTGTAGATCAGCAGGATTAGACAGGTCCGCTGGTTGTTTCCGAACAAAATTTGCCACATTGATAAACTTTCGACTGAACTGTCCCAGACGGTAGTGAAAATGTTGCACTTCCTCAAATTTTACGATATCGTTTCCACAGAGTGTCGCAAACAGTGGCATCTGCGAAAAGTTCAATCCCAGGTGTTCGAGCAAGGCTCGTCGGTTGTATTCCACTGCTTCCAGGGTGTTGATATCGATTTCCCTGCATGACCAATAGCGCCAGTCCCCATCGAAGATCAAGAAATCCGAATCGTTCGAAATGATGGCCATGGCTTTTGATTTGCAAGCAAAAGCAGCCAATTCCTGATCGCATTCTTTTTCCATCGATACTGTCAACCTGCCATGTTTTTTCGCAAGATATTCCACTGCATATGAGCATCCGGGTGAACCCAGCTGCTCAAGAATCGTCTCGATATCAGTACCCTTATCAACAGCATCGATTAGTTCAATTAACTCCTGATACTCGGTATCCCTCCGTTCACGCCAGGTTTGCAGTTTGAAGCTTGGCACCGTACCGTCCAGGAAGAACTCGAGCTCTGCTCCAAGGCCTTTCAGTTTGGCAAAGAATCTATCAATTGTCCAGAATCCCACGTTGAACCGCGCTCCAAAAAACAACGACTCCATATCTATCGATGTGAGTGTGCAGTGCAAAGCCATCAAGTCGATGACGATAACAGGTGGCGGTGTCGGAGGATTCGACTCGCGAGCCTCGTTGCAGTATTCCCTGAAAATATAACATCCAACGTTAATTGGATCATATGCCACCCGGATGGCACTGAAATCTTACCGAATCGCATGTTCAATATTCACTTTAGAACACCCCTTGGCGACTTTCTTACGGATGAATGTGTCCAGATGTCGAATGCCCATCGCGTGGTGGTTGACGGCACAAAGCGAACTGAGTCACATCTCTCTTTATGTGGCGAGCGGTTCGACCGGGCGAGCGTCGTGTTTTGTTTATTATCGCTTGGCCCATGGTGGGTGCGGCATGGTGATGCAGATCTATCATTGTATAGGCGAGGAGGTTGCGGTTTTAGAGCAAACTATAGACAAACTCGATCTGGTCTGGAACAACAGGCAGCTTGCTAGTGTTAGAAGCAAAAATGTTGTAAACATTGCTGAGCAAGCGAATGCTGATGTCACGGCAGCACAACATTCCATACTTCGATTAGCAGACGTGTCGTCACAGAAAACAGCTGTTTCATGTAAAAAGATAAACATTGCGATGAAATACGACCACCACTAGACATTTTCACATTTCACTAATACCAATAAGCCGGTTGGGCCAGACCTTGTATAATTGACATCGGGTCGCTCCTCCATAGAGATTTTCACGTCCGGTTGTATTGGTGCGATATGAGAGAGCACGTTAGTGAAAATTCGAGGAACAGATATAATTTCATCCTTTTGTTTAGGTTAGCCAGAAGAAAATAATAAACAACTCTACAAAGCACTAGTGTGTGTGTGCTTTAAACGTTACTAATTTCTATACAAAAATTCACATGGCTGAATCATGAATTTGACATATTGGAATACCTATATGTACTCACCTTGGTTTGGCCTAGACTGGTGCATATTTTTTTTTATTGAATATTGAATGTTGCTGCATGTGATTATTACGACACAATATACCTAAAAACTGGCTGACCAATTTTTGGCTGCTGTCCACATTTGGCTACTGTAAGTTGGATTTTTTTTAGATATTCAAAGAGCCTGTTTCAGCTAGTGAACATTTAGTGGACCTACTCAGATTGATATTATGACTTGATAAGAGTAAAAATGTAGGCGCGCTAGTCTAATCACTTCACAAACACAATTTAAAAAATATCAATCACGTCATTTCTGCTGGTCATTATTTGCTTGCTAAGTACAGTGAAGCGCAAAATTGAGCGTACACCTGACACAAGAAGCACCAAAAACATAAATACAAATGCTATATTTTTCAGTAGCCATTTTGCGATTTGACTGGTTGAGTCACATAGATGTAAGTTTGGTTGTTTATTTAGTCTAGAGGGAACGACACTCATTCAGATGAGTTTTATTAAAAAAAAGTAGAAGGGTCTGTGCCTAGGGGCACGAACGGAAGCTTGACGTAGGACCGCTAGTGAACGGAAAAAATGTGAAGAGCATTTAGTTCTTTTAATTGATAAATTATCTATTATCTCAATTCTTTCCGTTTTTGAATTGTAGGCGTACCAAATTTGTAGTAATCATTTTCAAAGAGAAAGTTGATTAAGAGAATCAATCAAAATCACTTGCACCCCTGCTTCCAAGTTTGGTTTCAAGAATTACAACTCTGGAGAGCATTTTGTGGTTTGTGGTTCTGAATATGGACAAACAAGCACAGATAAATTCTAATCCAACTCTTTACTGATTTAAGCTTGATGGCCCTGAAAAGGGCCGTTTTATTGAAGAGGACATCCATGTCCACTTACGCTTGGCGTGTTTAGTGTAGGTGACAGCATCACGGACCTCATTTTCCAGGAACATCTTCAGCACACCTCGTAGATCAGACCGGAAATACGTTTGACACCACCACGGCGAGCCAGACGACCGATGGCGGTTATCTCGAAGAACTTTGCGATGACGCTTGGCGCCTCCTTTACCAGACCTTTTCCTCCTTTGCCACCAGCGTTGCCAGGTCATTTTCAGAAAAATCTGGACCAGGTAAAATATAAAATCTGGAAAAATCTGGAATGCTCGAAAAAATCTTCTTTTTAACATAATCCAATTGAAATCAAAGTAATGTAAATGATGCCAATCTCCCGTAAAAATAGGTCAGTATGATCATCTGGAATTTATTTATCCTTATATAACGCAAATAACTTGTTAGCCTTTCTAAAAGCATCCAAAAGTTGAAAAGGATTGACACGGTGTGCCCAAAAAGTTCAAATATCCATTAAGCAGCATTTCAAAAATTGAGTTAAATATGGGTAAAAAAAACAGCAGAAAATATGGTTAGAATTGTTTTTTAAACTGTAACTTTTTTAAACAGAATGAGAAGCAAAGAATCAAGAAAATTTGATGGAATGGATTTTTTTAAACTAATAGTCGATGTAGTCCTTACTATTTGATGCAGCACCAGAATTTAAAGGTTTTATTCGTTCTAAATAATTATAATATTACTCTGAGGTTCATCAGATTTACAGTGTAATTCTTGACATCATACAGCACACAACACCCAGCAGACCAGTAGGCAATTTTATTTTGATTCAAAATTATCCGGGCTGAAGTGGGAATCAAAGCTCTACATAGTGGAACTCAAACACAGTTTACCTAAACAACGGGTAACTCCACTAGTCGCATGACCATTATGCCAAAGAACAATTTTATTATATTACTAAAATTAAAGTCTGATAGCTTAATTTTTGAAGTCTCAGGATCTTGCAATGATTCCAAATTCCAGAATATATATTTTTTCTGCGTCCCAGATCATGATTTTTTTGTTAGCCTGAATTTGCTTGGAACTCTTCATAGGATATCTTCGCCTTTTTTTGGTTCAATTCGAATCATATTTCTTTTCTATTTTCCCCTAAAATAATTTTGAAAATATCTAAACTTTTCCAGTAACGTTCTAAGAGTTCTTAGCATTACCTCTTGAAATCTCTTATAAATCACTCCCCAACTCCCTCAAATCGGTAATAATTCCCAAGAACTGGCTCAATGTTGTGTCCATTTTTCTCTATGAAATTCTTAAAATATTCTTGACTATTTCCTTGCTACACTCTTCAGAATGACCGTCACACTCTTCTCTGACTCATCCGATAATTCCCTTTAAACTGCTTTGTAGGTAAAGTTAGAATTGTTTTGAAATCCTTTTCAGTATTACCACAAACGAAGTGACAGACGGAGCGGCTCGAAAACTTTGGTGACTAACCTGCTATTGCAATTTTTCAGTATACCACATGGCAGCACTACTACTGGATTGAACTAGCATTTTCACCAAATTTACTAGAATGTTTTGGTTATATCTCTTTCACTCTACTCAAAACTGAAATGCATAAAAAAATGACAAAATGATACACTCTTTGCACACTGTCAAAGAATCATTAGCTTAGCTTAGCTTAGCTTAGCTTAGCTTAGTCTGACTGCACGTATCGATAGTTGCACTCCGTGATTGATCTGAACCAGTGAAATTGTACAAAGAATCAACTGAATGGGGCTTGGTAGTAACCTGCCATTCTCAGTGTACATGTTCCAGTGACTCCTACCTTTAAAGATCAATAACGTCACCGGCCACGTCCTTGCAATCAGGTGGGAGAGGGAAGGAATGTTAGTGTGTGACTTTTGTTGTTTTGGGACCGTGTTTACCTCTGCATCCCACAAAAGTCACAGGAAGGAGGTTTTGTTAGTGGGTTAGGTTCGTTGGATCAGGATTCACCTTGATAAGTGATGCGATCTTTTGTTTTGTGTAGTTATTTATAAGTGTTTTCGATTTATGCTCTAAACAGCCGGCTGTCTAGAGATGTAGATCATTATTAGATATGTGTATACCGATTTAAACCAACAATAAGGATACTGTTGGGGCCCCTCACAAAGTGTGATGATGGTTTATTTTATTTTATCAATGACCAAAATAATTAATTATAAGCGGTTTGAACCGATTTAAACCAACAGCAAGGATGCTGTTGGGGCCACTCACAAAGTGTGATGGTGGTTTACTTGATTGAATATAAAATAATTATTAGAACCGATTTGACCCGATTTAGACCAACGGCAAGGATACTGTTGGGGCCACTCACAAAGTGTGATGGTGGTTTATTTAGTTCGGAAGAAAATGAATATGTATACTTCTTTTTTTTTTTTTTTATATATAATAGAACGAATTTGTACTGATTCAAACCAAAAGCAAGGGTTCTATTGGGGCAACTCACAAAGTGCGATGGTGGTTTATACTATAAGGGCATAAAACAAAATCAAGAGCCATTTCGGTTTCCATAGCTTCCTAGACACTCGGCCGCAAAATAATCTTATCCGACGGAAACGTCTCGATCATCGCTGCACAATGGTTTATTATAGCATTTATAAAGTAAATTTGAATACCTTATTGTTTATTTATTATCCATTTTGACTTGACTTGGTACCGTTCAGTTTTATGATGACAAAGTTGCCTGGAGAAAAGTGACAGTTCAAAATGTTTCGGAAGGGAGTCAGCTAGTGTCGTCCAAGTTCAAGTGCGGAAAAAATGCCATTTAAAGTGGTACAAACAATTGAAAGATGCGAAACATGCCTAACCGTAATTCTTTCTGGTTGGAAAGAAGCTGGAATCCTACACTGGCCGGAAAAAAAACGCGGTAGCGAAACTCTCTCAAGACGAGTTCTCCATGCCAAACCCAATGTGGGAACGTATCAATTGAGTGAAAAAAAGAGAGTTCAAGACTCGCTTGGAGGCTGAAGCAGAATTGGAACAGATGTAGCCAGTTTCGGATACGGAGGCGAACGAAGGGAATAATCCACCACCGTCAAAGAAAGTTTGCCCCGAAGTCTACAAGTCCCCCAGTCGGAAGGGAAACACAATAAGAGACTTTAACGAAGTTTTCCTTATTCCTGGGCAGGAGGTTGACTCCTGTGAAGCTGACTGTAAAATCCAGAATCAGATGAGATTATAATATATGCGACACAAATTCACTTTTTTATAGGGGAACATGTGATGTGAATAGAACCCACCATCAGTGCAAGGATTACATATGACTGCAGATACTTCACTGGTTGTAAAGTTCTGCCTGATGGTTTGTTGCAGCTGGGTGAATCAACTTCATTGAAGACCTTTGGAAGACAAACGACAAGATGTACGTCTATCAACACGTGACAAGGGACTGGCAAATCCACGAACACTTGTCCAGTCTACAAATCCATTGAAACCCTTAGGCTGCCCCCCCC